ACAGTATCACGAATACTTCTGACAAGTAGCTATAGGCAAATCAGTACTTAATTGAAAGTAGATAGCCTACTGATCCTTATACTAGTTTAACTCTAGCATCATGAATTCTCTCTCCTTTTACTCTTTCTATTTCAATATAATTTACATATAGGAGGAGTTAATATTACAAATCAATGAAGAAACTACTAGTATTATTGTATTCAATTTTCTTATATTTGTTTATCGCTTTCACGTTTCTTTTGACTTTTTGATACTACAGTTATCAATTTCTATCTTCAAGTCCTTGTACAAGAAATATTCCTTCAAACAAAGTTAAAGTTTGTCAAAAAGTATAGAGACTTCCAGGTCTGACTTGCTTGGAATTTCAAGTTACCAAAGGAGTGAGAGAAACAGATGTCACTTGGCCTGAATCTATTTATTGTTTATAAAAAGACCATGCCCCTGATAGTGGGTTTAATTCATGTTTTGTACTAGCTGAAAATTGACATGCAAGTTGAAAAAGGAACTATATTTCTAAGGCCCTATTTGGTATGATACAGAATAAAAAAACTCAGCTTTTATGGAAATACAAGTGTTTGGCAGGCCTAATATTTTTTTTGGTACTTAAATAAGTTACTGTCATTTCAGGTATAATCTATAGTGAAAGACTATAAGGCATAAGTTGCAGTAGCCAACTGCAATAATCTTGGACCATCTATTTTAAATATAGATTGTTCATATAGTTTCTGTTGACTTATATTGAAAAATAACAATGATTGTACTTGAGGTTTATTCACTGAGAATAGATGTATTATGATATGTATTGCAATATAGTATTATTTATGATACGAGTTTTATTATCAAGATATCATACTCTATTATTAACAGGATATACTCTTATCTAAATTATATTATCATTACAATGAACAATAAAATTATAGCAAAATTCAACTTCTATTATACTATAACTGAATTTCTATATAAGTGTAATCTTGTATTAAGCAAATGGGCTTATATTATCTCTTTGAGAACTTACATGAAATATACCCATAAAAAATATGCAGAATAGAAATACAGAGGATTGAAATACCATGGTATTTTTTTACCTATCAAACACTCAGGCTCTCTGAATATTTTAGTTTAATACAGCAGAAAAAACTAAGAAAAACTAAGAAATACATAGTTTTTCTACTTTACCAAACAGGACCTAAGTACTCTGAACATCCATCCTCTCATTTTGTTAACACTAATTATCAACTAAAGAAAATTGAACCTCCTATATGATGTCTTTACTTTTTTTGTCATTTTATTAATCAACTTAAATGTAAGCAAAGTTCCAAATTGTTGAAAAAAGTCAAGAAAATTATTTATTCTTATAATATTTTTAAAAAAATATTTATTGTACTTACTTTGAATGCTTTTGCTACAAAGTTCCTCTCTGTAAAGAGTCTTGTTTCATGCTTTCTAATATTATCTTTCACTTCTTCCTTTTGTCTACTCAAGTCATGAAATTGAAGTTGCTTCTATTCTGATAGTAACCTAGCAGAAACAAATACAAATTTCAATGTGTAACTTGAGTTCAGATTACCTGCTGTTTTGTCATATGTTATTCATATTTTATTCAAGTTCATGCTCATTTTTCATCTAATCTCATATGTACTCATGTACAATCTCTCTGTGCGAGATGTTAGTTGTTGCTCTTTCTGGTATCCACCAACTCTCTAGCTTCACTCTAAATGCACACTAAACTTGAAAATGGTGTGCTTCGGCTTGAAAAACGGGAACGAACGAAGGGATGGTGCCCGGGCGATGCGCGGCAAGGACTCCACTGGGCGCTAGGGGCCCGAGCACCCGGTTAGCTCATACCCTATCGGCCGCCATTGCATTGCCATCCACTTGAACCGAACCAACTTCAGCCTCCTAATCTACACACACCCAAACACACACACCATCCTTCCCCACCATCACTTTCTCCTCAACGTCCTCAACGTTCACTACTGGTGTCTTCCATCGCTCAAAACTCTTCGACACCTGATAATACTCGTACAATGATTCCCTGCCCAATTTGCGGTAAGGATGTTCCCTTCAAGCTTATTAACCAGCATCTGGACTCGGGTTGTACCGATCCGACGACTGTGTTGAGTACAACTTCTGGGAAGCAGGTCCCGGAAGCGATGACCTACCCCCTAGACCCCGCGCCGACAGAACCAACTCCACCTGCTTGGGACGAGACACAAAATGCTACATCCTCGGGGAATCCTAAGCGCGCCGTCGCCCTGAGTTATAGCTACAACGGAAAAGGCGGAAAGGCTGAAGGGGATGAGCACAAACATGCGTCGAAGAGGCCCAAGACCTCCAAGAAACCTAACAACCTAGAGAAAGCGATGCCCCTTGCCGAGAGAATGCGCCCAAAGATTCTGGACGACATTTGTGGCCAAGAATTGGTCGGCAGTAGTGGTGTGCTTCGTGGATTGATTGAAGAGGGAAAAGTTCCGAGCATGATCCTTTGGGGGGCAGCGGGGTGTGGGAAGACTACAATTGCCCGGGTTGTCGCTAGAATGAGCGGTTGCCGATTTATAGAGATTTCGGCAACGGCTAGTGGTGTTAACGACTGCAAGAAGATCTTTGCAGAGTCTAGGAGTGAACTTATGCTCACCGGCCGAAGGACAATTCTCTTTTGCGATGAGATTCATAGGTATACCAAGGCGCAACAGGATGTGTTTTTGGCACCTGTTGAGAAGGGTGAGATTGTTTTGTAAGTCCGCATGACTCTTAGCACCGACACAGCGCAGTACTAATTGATTTTCTTCCCAGGATTGGGGCTACGACAGAGTAGGTACCACTTTATCCGTCAATGAAACAATCGACTAACACGAACTTTAGGAACCCGTCATTCAAGGTTCAAAGTGCTCTGCTGTCCCGCTGCCGAACTTTTACACTCAATAGACTCTCCCGAGCCGATATTGAAATCATTCTGCGTAGGGCCTTGCTTTTCGAGTCGCAGTCTGATGAGAGAGAAGGCCATCCCGTTGTTTCTAAGCTATTGGACACTTCGATGATTGAATATCTTGCCCGCTTTGCAGATGGTGATGCTCGTACAGGTCTCAATCTATTAGAGCTCGCATTAGGCTTAACAACCAGACCCGGCATTACCCAGGAACAAATCAAGAAGAGCCTGGCGCACACAATTATCTACGATCGCGCTGGGGATGCGCACTACGACACTATATCTGCTCTTCACAAGAGCATACGTGGGAGTGACCCCGATGGCGCCATCTTCTGGCTGGCCCGCATGTTGAAAGGAGGGGAAGACCCATTGTTCATAGCTCGCAGAATGATAGTCATGGCAAGTGAGGATATCGGACTCGCGGACAATTCTATGTTGTCTCTTGCCACCGCCACCTTCACGGCCGTCCAACAGGTGGGAATGCCGGAGGCCAGGATCAACCTCGCGCACTGTGCCGTTGCTCTCGCCCTATCCAACAAATCTACTAGATCTTATAGGGCGCTGGGGATGGCTATGGAAATTCACGAGCACGATCCTGCCTTGGCCGGCGCGCCCGTACCAGTTCATTTGCGGAATGCACCAACAAAGCTTATGAAGGAGCTTGAGTATGGTAAGGGGTACAAGTACAACCCTGATTACAAGGACGGGAAAGTAAAACAGGAGGTATGTTTGCAATATCACTCTGGGTTCATTATTCACTTTTGTGTAAATCGCGATCTTACCAACCATCCTGACACAGTACCTACCCGAGCAACTCCGAGGCACCAAGTTTCTGGATGATATAGACTTGGGAACTAAGGTTGATCCGATGCTTATAAATTAATTGAGAAGTAGGGGTTCCAGGTGATGGAGCTTGGCGAGGGCTGATTGATCCCTATTTTCAGCCCACGTTAACTTCTACCATACATTTCGAATTAGCTAGCACAATAGTCATGTCCACACAGCACTTGGTAAGGATTTCACGCATTTCCACCACAATACCACAATCATTCATTACATTACAACTTTTTTTCCCTTAATTGTGAGGTCAACTTGGTGGACTGTTTGATAGAGGGGCTTCCGATACTACAGTAACCTCGAGTGGCATTTGGCGCACGGCATCTCCAGTAGTGACGCCAACGAGGTTGTTGTATTGTATTCGAGTAGTGCCAGCGTCCTGCTTGTGTGAAGTTAACCAAGTGCCAGTAGAACCTCCGCTCTCCTCTCCTCTGCAGGGCAGAGCCGACGGCCAATTGCGTCACCTGCTTTTCCTGCACATGACTCCTACTGGAAGTATTATTTGCAACACTGGGTTTTCCTGACCCGGAGCAAAGCTTCCCATCGGTAGAGGACTTTCACCAGGTGGATCCTGAGTGGTGGAGAGAGATCGTTCAGAGAAGAAGTAAATAGTAAATAGTAAATCGTATTATAAGATGAATCTTATAAGAATGAGGAGTCCCATTTTCGGGAATGAGGGGATAAATCATTGATGGCCGATCTTAGCGGCGGCTTCCTGTATGGGGGAATCAATCCTGCCCCACTGCAGCATTCCTCGCATCCTTCTTCTCCCATCTGCCTTCTCCCACCCTTCAACCGCCCTCTTCCCCCCCCGCATCCTGCATGAATCTCCCACCATTTCTACTTCGCAACATCCGCCCCTCGATCCCCCGATTTTTGCCCAAACAATTACGCACAATGGTGAAACCCGCCGCCAGAGTTGCTACCCAGGCCAAAGATGTTTGGTCAATTGTCAACGAAGCAGCTGCGGCGGCCACGGCGTCAGGAAACACAGTCATTAACCTCGGTCAAGGCTTTTTGTGGGTTGTCTCCTTCACCCTCCTGCCCCACAAAAAATCTCCATGACATAGAAATTTGTTTGTCTAACATCCTGTATCTTCTCTGAAAAATAATAATAGTGGCTACAACCCTCCTCAATTTGTCCTGAATGCTGCGAAAGAAGCGCTGAATAGGGTTGATTGTAACCAATATTCCCCCACCCAGGGTCGTCTCCGCCTGCGTCAAGCTCTCTCAGACGCCTACTCTCCATTCTTTGGCCGCAAGCTCGATCCCACCACTGAGATTGTTATCACCACCGGCGCAAATGAGGGTATGTTGAGCGCCTTTATGGGCTTCGTCGAGGAAGGTGATGAGGTCATTGTCATGGAACCCTTCTTCGATCAGTATATCTCCAACGTTCAAATGGCCGGTGGAAAGGTTGTCTACGTTCCGTTGCATCCGCCCCCGAAGGGTGATACGGAGGTTAGTTCGTCCGACGATTGGACCTTGGATTTGGCAGAGTTTGAGAGGGCCATCACTGAGAAGACTAGGATGGTGGTGAGTTTGTTCTCTCCGAGGTGTGTGCGTGTGTGGTAATTGAACTTGAGGATAGGTTATCAATAGTCCGTAGGTTTTATCCCTGGTGCTCTGGGATTGTGGTTTGCAAAAGGTGGAAGCTGATGATAATCATTAGGCACAACCCAATTGGTAAAGTCTTTAGCAGAGAGGAGCTTATGGGAATTGGTGAATTGTGTGTTAAGCATAACATCCTCATTCTTAGCGACGAGGTATACGATAGATTGTACTATGCTCCCTTCACTAGAGCTGCCACCCTCTCCCCCGAGATTAGAGATCTCACGATCACAGCCGGGTCTGCTGGGAAGAACTTTTACTGTACTGGCTGGAGGGTAAGGGTTCTTGAATTATTTACCAGACAACTTGGGATTAACTCTGAAGCAAGGTCGGTTGGTTGATTGGGCGACCCGAATTGATCAAATATGCCGGTGCTGCTCACACCCGTGTAAGCATCTCACCTTTCCTATGAGGTATTTCGCTGATAAGTGGTAGATCTGTTATTCTTCCGTCTCCCCTCTTCAGGAAGCAGTAGCCATTGGTCTCGAGCAGGCCGAGAAGGAGGGATTCTGGGAGAGCTCTAGGCGCGAAATGAAGGGCAAAATGGACCGCTTCAATGAAGTTTGGAACGAATTGGGCCTTCCCGTATTTATCTCCATGCTCTATGCCCTACATTAACAACTGACCTTGCTAGTTCACCGATCCCGAGGGTGGTTATTTCGTCCTAGTCAACATGAGCAAGGTAAAAATGCCTGAAGGTTACGAATTTCCGTCTCACGTGTCTTCTCGACCGAGAGACTTTCAACTCTCCTGGTTCCTAATCAAGGAGATCGGAGTCGCTGCAATTCCGCCCACTGAATTCTACACCGAAGCCAACGAGAAGGAGGCAGAAAACTATCTCAGGTTCGCAGTCTGTAAGGATGACGACGTCCTTGAGGCTGCAAAGGAGAAGCTGAGAAAGTTGAAGGATTACATATAAGACTTCGTGGCTGCTCTCAAATTTCCGCACATTTCTTTCTTTTAGATTTAGATATTTTGTAGGAGTCGATTGATTTTCTATACTTCTATTAGAAAAACTGTGATTCGCAATTCTTGGGAGCAGGGGATTCAGAGATTCTTTCTGTGAGGCGATCTATGAACAGGGTTGCGGAGGAGGCCCCGTTGTTCATCTGCATGGGCACCCGAACATAATGCCTCAGTTCTCTGCCCACCGCCGCCGTTCCAATTAACACCAAGGCCGACAGTTCTCGCGTGAAGGCCTACCTTCCCATACCGGTACTGTACACTACCATACCAGTTTGCCCTATATACCTCCCCACGCTCTCCCACCTTTTCCCGCCTCGTGCAACCACCGCGATACTGCCACCACCATTGACGGGAATGATTCTGGAGAGAGGAGCAATCATTGGAGTCCTGGCGGTAGTCGTGGGTGTAATTATCCCGCTGTTGTTGGTCTGGTTTGGGAATTGTGAGTTCCGGATATTCTGATTATGGGTGGGCGGGTGGGTGACTGATGCTGCGTGCGGAGTAGACGTCGGGAGGGTGCAAATGGAGAGGGGTAAGAGGGGGTAAGAGACGGGTGTGGGGGTCGCGGGTATGATAGCTTCTACCATCTACGGGGGGAGGGGGTGAAGATGGAGGAGCAAGGCATTCCGCGAGTGATGGGTTATGATAAGCTTATAGGCACTTGGAGTTGGGCTCTTCCGTTAGTTTCGTATATGACACTTATAGTACGGTATGATGCTTATATCGCTGAATTGGAGTCGCGCCTTTATCGGCGCGTCACCGAGCAAAAAAAGCGACTTCATTCCGGCGACATGAGCCGGGCATATGGAGTTTGGTCATGAACTACGAGTACCAGTGCTCGAATAAAGTTGGGCGGACACGCTACGAGTACGAGTACTTTCATTCTTTCCGCTACCCCCTCAATGAACATAAGTGTATAGCCCAAATTGCCTACCCCCGATCGAGTAGGGTTGGGTCGGGTTGCTATCGGGTCTTGGCAAAACACTGAAGGTTGAACTTGACCATCACGAAAATTTCCTGTACGATACTCGAGTCGGTACACTTCCGGAATTACGGTCACCACCACCACGCCCCCCCCCCCCCCCTAATCTCAATGCCTCCGCTCACCTCTACCCCAGCGCTTCGAATGCGTTCTCTCCACCCACATGCCACCCGCTCGATCTCCACAACGCCCCACCTCTTGGGCGGCGGACCCCGCCCAAAAAAGTCCCGCATCGTCCACAGAGGCAAGACCTTGAGGATCCCAAAATCAAGCTCCGTGCTGAGCGCAACCTCCTTCAGACATCGCACTTCCCACCACGAAGTCCGAAAGCCGGCGGATCATGGGGTCGCGCCGCCCGTGATCCGCAAAATCATACCGAAGGGACCATCCCGCGACCTGATCCACTACATACCGCCGAGCAATCCGTTGCGCTCGGTGCTGGGCCCGGGAATGTACTACGATACCAAATTGGATATGTGTCGCTGCACCAGCACGCCCGTTGACAAGGACGTGGAGACGGAGTACATGTACACGCTCATGCTACGCAAGACCCTTAGTACGTCTATCGTACCCACCAAGTACGTTACGCTGAGGTTTGCGGTGAACAAGTGCATGGAGGCTACCGGCTCGCATAAGAAGGCTTCGGCTACACGCCTGCGAAAGGGCTTCCTAAGCGAGGCTATGGGCACGATCCTAACGAAGAAGAAGGCTTGGGTGTGCGATTATGCTAGGGCCAACTTCTTCGATTGGGATCTGCATGAGAGCATGAGGTCCATTCGCGGGCATCTGTTCACCGGAAAGGAGGTGGACTATTACACCCCGGAGGGGCAAGTCCTTGGCGCTCAAAGCTGCGAGAAGAGGAATTCCAAGGCAGGGCGCAAGGAAAAGTTCCACAAGGACATGGCAATTCTGCTTGGAGACAATGTTGCTACTGCCACTGCGGGTCCTGAAACCGCGGCGGCGGCGTCAGCAACAAGAGCGACAAAAATCGCGGGTATGGCAGTCACTAGCGACCACAGCAGTGATAGCAGCGACAGCGACGGCAAAATACTTGACGATTTGGTCCTCGAAGACTCTGGCTCCGACACCACCTTTAGGGTGCCCAAGACTAGTGGGAAGGGCAAGGTTTCCGCACCCGCGACACGGGGGAGGAGGTGGGTGAGCACGGATACCGAAACGGAGTCTGATAGGAAATTACGGGATGACCGGGTCCTTGAGGATTCCGGTTCCGACGCCGACTTTGAAGCGCTGATGACAACCCAGAGCCACGATAAGGATAAGGGCGAGGATGAGGGCGAGAGCGATGGGGGGGGCAGGACAAGAACAGAGGTCATTCAGTTGGGCAGCATGAGTTCGGCCCCCGCACTAGACACGGTAAAGCAATACGTCTTAAATGGGGTCCCTGTAAATCCAATTGAGGTGCGAATAACGGTAACGCCCGTTGACCAGACGCACAATAGAAGCACATATATATCAACGCATCACATCCTCCACTGCATCCATATCGTTGTCACCACTCCCATCTTATCCACACATGCCCAAAACTCAAACATGCGGCTCACACACCACGATAGTCCATCGCACAAGTACTACTAGAGCACCGTACGGTGCTGCAGTGGATTCAATAAACCCGTCATTAGCCAGTCTTACTCCCCTTGCCAAACCACATCATAAAAGCCCAGCAAGGTCCATCCATCCATCACATACGAGTATAGTACCGGTACCACCGCACCACAACCATCTATTCCGAAACCTGTCTGTTGGCTGCCTCAGGTAATGGACCTGACCTGATGGCGTTGCTGTTGCTGTACAGTACCGCAGAAGGCTGGAGTCAAGGCCGGACGGGACGGAGCACGGCCTATACTGGTAGTGGGGTACGTAGACTAAGCCAGGCTTCAAGTTTGAGCTGCTCGCAATCTGCTTGTGCTTGTGCTCCTATTGTGAAAAACCCTGGGAAATCCGCCATCTATCTCAAATACCCCCGTAAATCACGACTCCTCCCCCACGCTTGGATTACCGTACGGTGGTTTTGCGAGTTACTAGAGTGGAATAGCGAAATCTGGCTGATGAGATCTGATACAGTACTGTACCAGTACAGTCGATATACTGAGTACAGTACTCAGGCTTACCGTGTTCGGAAGGCGCTAATCCTTCTTTGGAACATTTATCTCTCAGTTGGGAGATTTGGGCGTGAGCTGGGATGTCATAGCGAATTTCAAGAGAGTTTTGTTTTTACGGTGTTGTACGAGTAATAGGCAGCGATGTGATGCTATACCGGTAGTAATACGGTGCGGGGGGAGGGGGTTAAAGCCTTGTCACGTTTCACGAGTATTAATGACAAGGAAGGAAGGGAGAACAAGACTTGGGGATTCCGCCTTGGGATATCGGTCACGGTATATACGGCAAGGTAAGGCAAGGTAAAGTAAGGTAAGGTAAGGTAGTATTCCAGGTGTGGCGCAGCAGTGCAAGTTCCGTTACCAACTAAACTACGGTACCTTCCATGGAACATAACGCCTTAGGATACCGGTAGACCACTGTAGACTCCGAGAGAAAGTGCCCGGATCGGAATGAATGCTTCCTGTATGATGCCGTAATTTAGTTTTGTTGCGAAGGATTGGAAATTTGTACCGTGTCTTCCGGGCCAGGCTTTTTGCCTTCCTGTTTTGGATGATTGGAATGGGTTCAACTTGAACAGCGTTAGTCTATCATAATACAAAGATCTCATGCTCCTGAACTTGGAGCTTTCATGAGTGTGCTGGTATAGGATCCTCTGAGATAAAAGAAAAAAAGACGATACTGAGGGTACTAGCAGATCTAGGTTGTGTCTTTCTGGAGTTAAAGATATAATAGTTCTTTAGCCCATTAATTAAGGGAAGAAAAAAAAAAAACGAAGGAAGGGGGGGGGGGGGTTGTCATCCTCCTGGCAGGATTTGGCAGGGTCCGGGTGAAAACCGGTCAGACCTGTGTGTTCCTAATAGTGTGTTTCTTCTTCTCTTGCCTATCTTTCCCAACTTTGAGAGGTGGAAGAGAATGTGTGGTTGGTTCAAGACCGGAAGGGACTGTCCATTGTGAAACATTGGACAGGGGTGGATTTGTTTCGTTCTGTCTTGATTTTACTTAAACCATAACTTGCCCCCACTGTTGGTATGACTGTTAGAAATCCTTGGACTCAGAATCAAAAACTATTTCTAATTTACTGCTAAACAGACAATCTTAAAATTCAGTAAAGGATGGGGTTGACCGCATAGTATATTATACTAGTTTTTATGATATATAAAGACACTGGCACCATGGGTACATTGACTACTGGTACTCCTGTGCAAACACTGCCAATCATGCCCACGTCAGATCAAACTATCATACTACTAAAAGCTCTACAACCAATGTTCTGTTTTCTAGCAAGCTATGTTTCCTGCATAAGAGCTCTCTGATTGTTTTCTTATCACCTCTGTATGTTCTTTAGCTTTTCTCAAAGGCTTTCAATTTCTGTAAAAAAAATTTAAAAAAAAATAGTTCTTATACTAAACTGTATCTTCAACTATTGCAGTACAAGATTAACATTTGTAATATGTCCACGGTTGAAGCAGGATAGCTCAAAGACTATCAGGAGTAGGTACTAAACTTGAAGCTTGAGGAGAAAAGTACTGAATTCTAGAGACTCAAGGCAGATTTCCCCATTGCCTTTCAAGTTAGCTCACTCATGATAATACTACCCTGTAGAATATATATTCTGTAAGGCTATACTTGAGGAAAAGATCCCCCTGCACTTGGAATACAAAATAGTCTTAATAAGCTAGCCCGATGCTATGAGTTCACTACAACAAACATTGACCCTGACAGTATTTTCATCCCTCGCAAAGTCCATATCGCGGACAACAATAGCGCTATCATTACCCTTTAACCATTCAGCTCCATGCCTGCCATATTTCAAGTTTTTATTTCCTCGTTGAGAGTTCCCTTCTTCTTGTGGAGGGGGGGGGGAGAGGCCTCAGCCACTGGGGTATTCACGGTATGATACGGCACCTGTATCATGCTATATCCAGGACGGGGGTTTGCATGACTCGATGGTGCCGTAGCGTACAGTGAGTGAGTTTACAATAAGGCTCCAACACTGGCACTCCATTCTTGATTAAAAAAACAAAAAACAAGGCATACGGGAGAGCACCGGTATCATACTAGTACAGTGAGCCCAACAGCCATTTTCGAAGAAGAAAATAAGAAAGAAAGAAGCGTTTCCAGCGACGGGCGTAGCGGAAGGGGACATGAAGCGTTTTGCGACACCGTGTATAAGTGCCGTAATTTACGACTATTACAAGTATCGTACCGCGGCGGCAATTAAATTATAAGGCCACCGTGAACACCCCGTTTGCAGCGATTCGAAAGCACACGAGCGGGAATTGGTTTGCACATTGGGGGAAATGTGCCTTCCGTGATTGAGGAGGATGCACACACACACCCGGTGATCAAGTCCACCATAGTGACCGTACTGGCCGCCTTCGTGAATTCTATTTTTTTCCCTGTGCCGTGGTGTTGTTGCCTGCGCGGGCCTCCGTACCCCGGGCAGGTCGCGTACCGTACCAAGGCTGCGAAACAAAACGAGCCCGGCGGTTGGTTATGATGATGATAACAATAGCGGATGGAGGGAGAGAACACTTGCAAGGATTTCAGTACTGGCATCGTGCTTGGAAAGTCTCACGGCGAGCGATAGTTTGTGAGGATTGTGCCAAATTTTTGCTATAATATCCCCAGAAAAGCGGATAAGTTATGCCACTGTACCGGTAAGAGTGCATGAGTAGGCTGAAGGGGGACTAGTGGTCACCACAAGAAGCACCAGTACTCGAGTAGCGTGCAGTAATACAAGTAATACCGGTACTATGGCTCCACCCGGGTATTTATAGGTGATAGAGCGGGCGATTCTCCGCACATTAATAGAGAGAAAATGGAAAATATCTCAAGGTTTCGTTGGAGATATGCCGATTGACCCGCTATTACTAAGCCATGATGAACGCGTGCCTGTTCCAATAACTTACAGAGGTCCCTGGTGTAACCAACACTGCAGTCACTCAGATGCCGGTACGGTGCTAGTAACATCTCCATCCTATCTGGCATAACTTACGCCTTCGAGGGCATGGCAACGGCTGCCGTGCATATCAATTTCGACATGTTTGGTGGGAGTGGCCACTGGCACAGCGGTTGCAGAGTGCAAAACACTCAAGCCACAAGAGCAGCGTCTCAGCCCCAACACGCAGTTCAAGCCACAAGAGCAGCCCCAAGCCCCAACACTATTCTCTGTGGCCCCGTGGAGGCTATTCCAAAAGAGGTGCCAACTCCCAGGTACGAGTATGAGTACACTGCCAGCAAGGCTTCCTCATGCGAATTCGGATAATTTCATCATGGGACGGGCAATCCTCTCTGAAATTTACCCACGTTAGCTGAGAACCCCTTGCTGCGTATTGTACGAATATCGTGGTGTAGGAGTAAAACGCGAGACTTACGGTAAGAGCCGCAACTTACCGGTACCTTTCCGTACTCCCGATGGCATCGAGAGAGATATGATAATTTATGATACAGCGAAAAATTTAGACATGAGATACCAACAGAAAACCCCAAATCAATCGGGTCCCATTGCTCTCTGTCTGAAGCCACAACCTCCACCTGTTCAGCAGCCAATTTTTCACATCTTTCGCTGCCCCATCAGGCGCTCGAGTAGTCTACCGTATGTCACAGTTCCAGCAACAAGGCGCACGCAACCAGCAAAAGCAAACAGGCACGGTGGTGCCGGTCACCAGTAACCGGGGCACTGTAACCCTCATCTGGCCGTTGAATAATCATGTCGAGATGCAGGAGATGGTACTATCATCAAGCATAAGCTCTATTTTCGGCATTTTTTCGGGCTTGTTGATCAGAAATTATGCAATGAATCACCGCACTGTACTCGTAGGGTTACCCAGCCCTTTGCCCTTGTTTTCAGCCAGTGGGAGAGCATTTTTGGTGTGCATCATAACATTTGGCCTCAGTCCCATGGAATGCGCAGGTTACCAGTGACCGACACGGTATCGTACTGCTGTTGGAGGCGTGGTGGGGTTGGGAAGGGGGTTCACTCGTGCGGTAGACTTAGAAGTGGGGCCGATAGATATAGGTATTAGTCACGTGGGTCTGATAAGAGAAAGATTTGGCTGGCCTTCTGGTTGTGGTGTGCAGACATAATGCACGTGACTAATATATCTATCGGCCGCACTCGTACTCCAACAGAGGACCTGTTCTTTATTTCCTTTGACTAATGAAGGTGGTGGGAGGTTACCTGTACAGGGGTTCCCAATTCGGTCTGATTTTTGGTGGGACAACCCTTTTAATACTCGAGTACCTGTACTCGAGTACAAGTGTGATACCAGCCTGTCTCAGATTTTTCATGATACTTGTACATACCATCAATGTTTCAGCCTTTCTGCCGCAGGCCAACACAGTAAGGATTGTGCCGGGTTGGTGGTCGCCTTTTACCACAGTTTAAGCTCGGGTACCAGGTTTTCGGCCAACCCTAGTTTTCGGCCACCTTGGCATGACCGCTCAACACAAAAATATATTTGATTTACAACTCCCATTGAAACATACAGGATTCCATTTGTGCTTTTTGCAAATTTCTAGAGGTTCTTAATGCTACCTCTTCTAAAGAAGGCTCTTTTGCCTTTGCCTTTGCCTTTTTTTCTGCAATTTTGGCCTTCTCTGCTTCTGCCTCCCCTCGTGCCTTCTCTGCCTCCTCCAATGACCGTTTTATACTTTCTACATTGGCAAAAATAGTATTTGGATCTAGAATAACCTTCCGCTTCTTCTTCTTACTTTCTAACTCATTGATTTGAACACAGAGGCGCTCATTGGTTGCATGTAAGATGCTATCTCTGACAGTGGCTT